CTTCCATAGTTTTTGCGAACCCCTGAACCGATCTGGGTGAAATTCGGATATGTTGGTCACCCAGATCAGGGCTATCAGGGGACATATAATTTATGGGGATACCTCAAGTATAAAGGGGTGTTCTAGGTATTGGGGAAAATGTGATTTTTCAGCCTGGAGATAATTAAGTTACTATTTTATCAGACTGAATTATCTTCTGGGCTAGGGGAGGGAATTGTAGGTGTGTGTTAAAGTTTTACTGTATGTGATTGGTTAATGTTTGTCCCTCCCTGAGGGCTGTCCCCTTGCATGGGGACTTGCATAAAAGCTGTGTGCACCCATTAAAGGACAGTTCATTTTGTACCCTTCTTCTTGACTTCGGCTGATGTTTGGGGATTCGTGTGTTTCACTAAGGGAATCATCTTGTGAAGCTGAGGGAATTACTATTGGATTCGTCTACCCTATCTACCGAATAGAGAGCTATAATCACTGAGGCTCTGGCGGTTCGGGAGGAAACGACCGAATAAGGTTTAAATATACTGGTTTCCTTACAGTCTCCCTGCAGCTCGTGGAGACGCTGAACACAGTAAGTGTCTATAGTGGCCGTCTAAGTGACTGCACCTAGAGGTGCTACTAGGTAGTTGCTAGGCAGCAATGTAAACACTGCCTTTTCTCTGAAAAGGCAGTATTTACATTGAAGACCCTGCAGGGACAAGCAGTACACACCGGAGTCAATAGTGCACGTTCTGATCAAAACAAAACGTAAACAAAAACTGGAATTTGCGCTATATGTTTGTTCAACCGTAATTCACCGCTGTCACATTAAGTGCACCCACACTTATTATATATCATTTTGTTCAGGAGAAACAGGACTTTAATTTATCATTAACAATTCATATATGGAACATAATGAATATATAATTTATATTAAATTTTGTTTCAATATTTAATTTATTTTATTATTTTATTTATTTATTATTGTAATTATACATATATATATAATTTATGTGTATATATCTATTATATATAATAGATATACATATTATATATATGTAACGTCATTCTAAGTGTATTTTAATACTAACATATGTACTATATTAATATTAAAATACATTACGTATGACGTTACATATATATAATATGTATATATATTATATATATAATAGATATATACACATATATTATATATATATATATATATATATATATATATATATATATAAATATATTTATTTTATTTTAAAACATGTCTAATATTTTTTTTTTTTTTACTTTCCCACCAGCAGGGAGACTGTCTGACATTTTAGACAGTCCCCCTGCTGGCAGATCCACAGCCAGCTATAGGGGGCCATGTGATCGCTCTTTGAGAGCGATCACATGGCCCCCGGGGGCTTCTTTTGCCGTGGGAGAGCTGCCTGGGCTGTGAGGCAGTCCTCCCAAGGCGGAGCGCCGGGTAGGTAAATATCCCGGGCGCTCCAGGGCTCAAAGCCGTTATGGCGTTCTATGCTGCCGCAACGGCTTTAAAGCCTTATTAAAGCGGGACGGCATAGAACGCCGTAACGGCGTTAAGGGGTTAAGTTGTAGTTGTTCTGGTGACGATAGTGTCCCTTTAATTTATCTAAATTTTCCCCAGGTACACATTTAATGCCCTTTGTCCTCTACACCCAGTTAGTGTCACAATTCACCCAGCCTCTGTGTGACCAATACCCCCATCCATTAAATATCCCAATTCCATCCATTGTATCTTAAGTCTCCCTCATAGAATGTAAATGACAACCAACATTTCACCAATCAATATTTAGTTAAAGGGCAACAGTAACATATAACGTTTGTCTTAAAGACACATTTTAGGCATCTCAATGAAGTGGTCCTGTAGCTTTATCCCTGCAACTGAAACCATCGCTGTCCTGCAGGACCTGCAGTGTTTACATTGCAGAGTTTGAATACCTCTAGTGGCTGTCTCTCTATCAACCACTAGAGGCAAGTCTGCCAAAATAGCCAAGTTATACTCAGCTATTTCAATCAGATGGTCTCATAGAGCCCTTTTGATGGGCACGGCACAACGTTTTGTCTTCCCCTTCTCCCCCCCACCAGACCGTCGTGTGTCTCACTAGCCTCTTTTTGTGTCTCTTTTTCCCCATGCGATTTATGTGCCTCATCCCACCCCACCCAGGCCCTATGTGTGTCTATTCCCCTTCCTTTTGCATGTCTCTTTTTCCCCTTCCAAAGCTCCTTTCAGTGTGTCATTGTCTCCTTTCCCTGCCCCTCTGTGTGTGTCACTGTCCCCTTCCCCAGCCCCTCTGTGCGTCTTTCTCTCTTCCCCACTTGCGTTCCTGCTCATCTCCTATGTGTAGTGTGCAGGGCTGTCTTTAACGTGGGGCAAACAGGGCAATTGCCCAGGGCCCAGTCACTCCTGGGGAGCCCAAAGCAGCTGGCTCGTGGCCCCACCACCCGTAGCATGGAAATTATTCATATTTTTTCCCCCCATGGGCCTGCAATACTGGTATTGCGGCTGCACCGGGGCCCGCGCTCTAAGGGGGCCCACCAGGTGGCCCATACACTTACACTGCATGCGGCTCTGTCCTTGCGTGTACATTCAGAGCTGACGTCGGCAGGGGGAGGAGAGGTCAACAGCACAGATGAAGCGTGCTGGATTAAGATAAGTGGCTGGAGGGGTTCTAACCCCTTTAGCCCAGGGGGAGAGGGGCCCTGAGGGAGGGGGGACCTAATAACCCTATAGTGCCAAGTAAACGAGTGCCAAGGTTATACTCCCCAAAACGCAAACCAGAGAACATTAAAGGCAAACACAGATAGACATATTACCGGACCTTAAAGTGGCCGGACTTAACGTAGGAATGAGAGATAAGAATAGTCAAACACGCCAAGGTCAGGAATACAGAGATACGGGAAAACGAAATAGACAGAGCCAAGGTCAGGGAGCCAGAAATAAGAATAACCAATAAACAAGCCGAAGTCAGGAACCAGAGAAAAAACAACTACTAAGAACGCACTCTCGGGCTAGAATAAACCACGACAGGGCAAGGAAGTGATGTCAGAAGGAGGTTAATATAGGGCAAAGTGAATGCTGATAGGCAGGGACAGACAGGGCCGGCGCTACCTGTAAGTCGACCTAGGCAGCCGCTTAGGGCGCACTTTAGCAGGGGGCGCCGGATCCCTGGCCGGAATCACCCGTGCGGCTCCTCACCTGCGCCGCCTGAGCGCTTTTACAAGCCTCAGGTGGCGCAGCACTGCTGTGGAGGGCGGCCGGATTTGAGTGACCAGCAGGAGGGCTCCCTCCTGCCGGTCTCTCAATGTAGCGTGGCCGGGCGGTGCGGAACGCGGGACAGGAACCTCTGTTTCCTGTACCCGGCCGCCGGCGGACTGACAGGAAGTGCTCACGCTACATAGGCAGGAGGGTAAGGACCACCAGGGGAGGGGGGAGGGTGAGTAACGAACACGGGGGGATAAGGGGAGTAAGGACCAGGGGGGGAGGGGGAGTAAGGAACACAGGGGGAGGGGAGGGGAGAGGGGTAAGGACCACGAGAGATGGGGGGGTAAGGACCACGAGGGGAGGGGGGGTAAGGACCACAAGGGAAGGGGGGGGTAAGGACCAGGGGCGGGCTGACCACTCGGGCACTTCGGTCATGGCCCGAGGCAGTCAGGGGCCCGGCCGCACAGCCATGCTCCAGCTGGAGAGATCAGAGATTTCTCCAACTGGAAAGGCAAAATTAAAAAAAATAAAACTATTTAATTGATAGGTTGTGGGGCCCCTGATGCAGCGCGAGGCCCCACAACCTACCGGTCTGCAAGTTCCCCCCCCTATGAGACCTGGCAGCTTCACCTCTCCCTCTCTGCCAGGTCTCCTTCTCCCTGTCCCGCGTGGTGCTCTGTGTGATGGGGAGAGGCGGGGGCCACTTCCTATTTACTCCTCTCACACAGAGTCGATCAGCCAGCAGGGGAAGGAGCAGCAGCCAGGGACAGAATAGGAAGCAGAGAGACCGGTAGGCACTAATCACCCCCCCCCGCTGTGTCACTAATCACCCCCCTCACTGTCACTAGTCACCCCCCTCTGTCACTAGTCACCCCTCACTGTCACTGTCCCCTCACTGTCACTAGTCACCTGTCACTGATCACCCCCCCCCACTGTCACTAGTCACCCACCCCCTAACTGTCACCAGTCACCCCCCCCTCACTGTCACTAGTCACCCCCCTCTCTGTCACTAGTCACCCTCTCCCTCACTCTGTCACTACTCACACCCTCCCTCACTCTGTCACTAGAGTGAGGGGATGACTGGTGACAGAGTGAGTTAGGGGGTGACTAGGGACAGAAGGAGGGATGGAGTAGTGACAGAGGGAGGTGGTGACTAATGACAGTCACCACCTCCCTCACTCTGTCACTAGTCACCCCTTCCCTCACTCTGTCACTAGTCACCCCCCCACTGTCACTAGTCACCCCCCACTGTCACTAGTCACCCCCCCTCACTGTCACTAGTCACCCCCTCACTGTCACTAGTCACCCCCCCTCACTGTCACTAGTCAACCCCCCCACTGTCACCAGTCACCCCCCCCACTGTCACCAGTCACCGCCCCACTGTCACTAGTCACCACCCTCACTGTCACTAGTCACCCCCCTCACTGTCACTAGTCACCCCTCCTCACTGTGTCACTAGTCACCTCCCCTCACTGTCACCAGTCACCTCCTCCTCACTGTGTCACTAGTCACCCCCCCACTGTCACTAGTCACCCCCCACTGTCACTAGTCACTCCCCTCACTGTCACTAGTCACCCCCCCCCACTGTCACTAGTCACCCCTTACCTCACTCACTTTCACACCTTCCCTCACTCACTCTGTCACCCCTTCCCTCCCTCACTTTGTCGCTAGTCACCCCTTCCCTCCCTCACTTTGTCACTAGTCTCCCCCTCCCTCACTCTGTCACTAGTCACCCACTCACTCTAGTGACAGAGTGAGGGAGAGGGTGACTAGTGACAGAGGGAGGGAGTGACTAGTGACAGAGGGAGGGATGGGGTGACACAGTGACAGAGGGAGGGGGTGACTGGTGACAGAGTGAGGGAGGGGATGACTAGTGACAGAGTTAGGAAGGGAGTGACTAGTGACAGAGTTAGGGAGGGAGTGACTAGTGACAGAGGGAGGGATGGGGTGACTAGTGACAGTCACCATCTCCCTCCCTCTGTCACTAGTCACCCCCTCCCTCATTCTGTCACTAGTCACCCCCTCCCTCACTAGTCACCCCCCCTCACTCTGTCACTGGTCACCCATTCCCTCCCTCACTCTGTCACTAATCATCCCCTCACTCTGTCACTAGTCACCCTCTCCCTCACTCTGTCACTACTCACACCCTCCCTTACTCTGTCACTGGAGTGAGGGGATGACTGGTGACAGAGTGAGAGAAGGGGCGACTAGTGGCAGAGTGAGGGAAGGAAGGGGTGACTGGTGACAGAGTGAGCAGATGACTGGTGACAGTGAGAGAGGGGGATGACTAGTGACAAATTGAGTTAGGGGGTGACTAGTGACAGAGTAAGGGACAAAGGGGGTGACTAGTGACAGGAGGAGGGATTGAGTAGTGACAGAGGGAGGTGGTGACTAGTGACAGAGTGAGGGAGGTGGTCACCCCTTCCCTCACTCTGTCACTAATCACCCCCTCACTCTAGTGACAATGAGGGAGGGGTTGACTAGTGACAGAGTGAGGGAGGGAAGTGGTGACTAGTGACAGAGTTAGGGAGGGAAGGGGTGACTAGTGACAAAGTGAGGAAGGGGTGACTAGTGACTGAGGGAGGGGTGACTAGGGACAGAGTGAGGGAGGTGGTGACTAGTGACAGTCACCACCTCCCTCACTCTGTCACTAGTCACCACCTCCCTCACTGTGTCAGCCCCTCCCTCTGTCACTGGTCACCCACTCCCTCCCTCACTCTGTCACCAGTCACCCCTTCCTTCCCTCTGTCACTAGTCACCCCTTCCCTCACTCTGTCACCTGTCAGCCCTCACTCTGTCACCCCCTCACTCTGTCACTAGTCACCCCCTCACTCTAGTGACAGAGTGAGGGAGGGGGTGTGACTAGTGACAGAGAGAGGGAGGGGGTGACTAGTGACAGTGAGGAAGGGTGTGACTAGTGACAGTGAGGAAGGGTGTGACTAGTGACAGAGTGAGGGAGGGTGTGACTAGTGACAGAGAGAGGGAGGGGTGACTAGTGACAGAGTGAGGGAGACTAGTGACAGTCACCACCTCCTTCACTCTGTCACTAGTCACCCCCTCCCTCACTCTGTCACTGTGTCACCCCCTTCCTCACTCTGTCACTAGTCACCCTCTCTCTTACTCTGTCACTAGTCACCCCCTCCCTCAGTGAGGGGGTGACAGGTGACAGAGTGAGGGGGTGACAGGTGACAGAGTGAGGGGGTGACAGGTGACAGAGTGAGGGAGGGGATGACTGGTGACAGAGTGAGGGAGGGGGTGACTAGTGACAGAAGGAGGGAGGGAGTAGTGACAGAAGGAGGGAGGGAGTAGTGACAGAGGGAGGTGGTGACGAGTGACAGAGTGAGGGAGAGGGTGACTAGTGACAGAGGGAGGGGGTGACTAGTGACAGAGTGAGGGAGGGAAGTGGTGACTAGTGACAGAGTGAGGAAGGGGTGACTAGTGACAGAGGGAGGGGTGACTAGGGATAGAGTGAGGGAGGTGGTGACTAGTGACAGTCACCACCTCCCTCACTCTGTCACTAGTCACCACCTCCCTCACTCTGTCACTGTGTCACCCCCTCCCTCTGTCACTGGTCACCCACTCCCTCCCTCACTCTGTCACTAGTCACCCCTTCCTTCACTCTGTCACCTGTCACCCCCTCACTCTGTCACCCCCTCACTCTGTCACTAGTCACCCCCTCACTCTAGTGACAGAGTGAGGGAGGGGGTGTGACTAGTGACAGAGAGAGGGAGGGGGTGACTAGTGACAGTGAGGAAGGGTGTGACTAGTGACAGAGTGAGGGAGGGTGTGACTAGTGACAGAGAGAGGGAGGGGTGACTAGTGACAGAGTGAGGGAGACTAGTGACAGTCACCACCTCCTTCACTCTGTCACTAGTCACCCCCTCCCTCACTCTGTCACTAGTCACCCTCTCTCTCACTCTGTCACTAGTCACCCCCTCCCTCAGTGAGGGGGTGACAGGTGACAGAGTGAGGGGGTGACAGGTGACAGAGTGAGGGAGGGGATGACTGGTGACAGAGTGAGGGAGGGGGTGACTAGTGACAGAAGGAGGGAGGGAGTAGTGACAGAGGGAGGTGGTGACGAGTGACAGAGTGAGGGAGGTGGTGACTAGTGACAGTCACCACCTCCCTCACTCTGTCACTAGTCAGCTCTTCCTTCCCTCACTCTGCCACTAGTCACCCCTTCCCTCACTCTGTCACTAGTCACCCCCTCACTCTAGTGACAGAGTGAGGGAGTGACAGAGTGAGGGAGTGACAGAGTGAGAGAGGGAGTGACTAGTGACAGAGTGAGGGGGTGACTGTCACTAGTCACCCCCTCTCTCACTCTGTCATTAGTCACCTCCTCTCTCACTCTGTCACCAGTCATCCCTTCCTTCCCTCACTCTGCCACTAGTCATCCCTTCCCTCACTCTGTCACCAGTCACCCCTTCCTTCCTTCACAGTGACAGAGTTAGGGAGGGAGTGACTAGTGACAGAGAGAGGGATGGGGTGACTAGTGAAAGAGGGATGGGGTGACTAGTGACAGAGAGAGGGATGGGGTGACTAGTGACAGAGTGAGGGAGGGGGTGACAGAGTAAGGGGGTGACTAGTGACAGAGTGAGGGAGCGGGTGACACAGTGACAGAGAGAGGGATGGGGTGACTAGTGACAGTTACCCCCCCCCCCACTCTGTCACCAGTCATCCCCTCACTCTGTCACTAGTCACCATTTCCCTCCCTCACTTTGCCACTAGTCATCTCTTCCCTCCCTCACTCTGCCACTAGTCACCCATTCCCTCACTCTGTCACTAGTCACCCCCTCTCCCTCCCTCTGTCACTAGTCACCCACCCCCTCACTAAGTCACCCACTCCCTCACTCTGTCACCAGTCACCCCCACTCACTGTGTCTCCCCCTCACTCTGCCACCACTCAACCCCTCCCTCCCTCACTCTGCCACCTGTCACCTTCTCCCTCACACACTCTGTCACCTGTCACATATGCATTCACACAGACACGGTATACAAAAAGCACATGTAGTCATCCAGACATGCACAAGTGCATTCACACAGACTCAAATACAAACATGCATTGATACACAGGTCTTCACAATACACACATCCAAAGGAATGCCGTATTATGAATTATATTTAACATTTATTTAATGCACGTATATTTGGCCTTCAAAGGGCCTGGGATCTAATTTTGCCCGGGGGCCCCAAAGGCTCTCAGTCCGGCCCTGCCCAATACCATCCAGGAGCTCCCCCTCCTGACCTCCCAAAATACTGTCCAGGGTCCCCCCATCCTGACCCTCCCAGATACCACCCAGGAACCCCTTCCTCCTGACCCCCCAAAATACTGTCCAGGAGCCCCCCTGCATGACCCCCCCCCCAGAAACTGTCCATGACCCCCTATCCTTATCCCCATATTCTGTCCAGGAGCCCCCATCCTGACCCCCAGATACTGTCTAGAAGCGCCACCTCCCCACCCCCCATGTGATATTTGCTCTCTCCTGTACAAGGTGAGAGGGAGAATAGCATGACAGTATTTACAATCCTAGAAGGACATACTGGAGTTCAAGATAAGGAATGTGTTTGTTATCTGGCTCAATATTTACACTTGCCACAGGCTAGTTACAATTTATCCCAGGCTAGAAATTGACCTTGTAGGCTTGCAGCGACAAATACATTTAACGCCTGGCTAGTGGATTAAGACTTGCAATCTACCAGCACAGGACAATATGTGTATATTTATTGGTAACTCGAATAAATCCAGTGACGGGATGCAGAGGGACAACCTGCGTGTGTTCTCTGGACTGGGATACAAGGGGTTAATGTTTATTGCTGAGCGTTTCGCAGATCCCTGTAATTACTTTACCCAGGAGGAAACTTGCTGCTAAGTAAGTGAATGCATTTAGCTGACTAGTCATTGGAAAAGGTATTGGAAATCAATAAATCCCTAATTTAATGGTTTTACTCCTGGGATATTATGCAGACATTATTCCCGGTCACTTTGCCATCTATTGCGTCTTGAGCTCGAGTGGAAATAAATATCGTTGATTAAAGCACCATGCATGTATTAATAACAACACAAACACCCATTACATTAAACAATCCAGATATTTAAAACCAGTTTTATGCCTCACATATTCTGCTACAGAAACAATCAATATCCTCGCACTGTAACTATCTGAAGATCTAAGAAGACAGATTAAAAAGTCCACTTTTAATGTGCGGCAGGCAATGCCTTTTAATTTGTTTATTTGTAACCAGCCAGGATATAGCAACGTTTCTATTCACTGTGTTATTAACCATGGGGGGTAACTCTACCAGTCTTTCTTCTGAGATGTGACTGCATCTTCCTACATCGACAAACTCTACGATGTCTGATCTGTGTCTGTGATAACTTAAAGAGCTATTAGAATCAATGACAATAAAATCCGTCCCGAATATGATCCAATATTGACTCAGTATGACATCCACCACCCATTACATCATACACTGACTCAGTATGAGATCCACCACCCATTACATCATACACTAACTCAGTATGACATCCACCACCCATTACGTCATACACTGACTCAGTATGACATCCACCACCCATTACATCATACACTGACTCAGTATGACATCCACCACCCATTACATCATACACTGACTCAGTATGGCATCCACCACCCATTACATCATACACTAACTCAGTATGACATCCACCACCCATTACATCATACACTAACTCAGTATGACATCCACCACCCATTACACCATACACTGACTCAGTATGACATCCACCACCCATTACATCATGCACTAACTCAGTATGACATCCACCACCCATTACATCATACACTAACTCAGTATGACATCCACCACCCATTACATCATACACTGACTCAGTATGACATCCACCACCCATTACATCATACACTGACTCAGTATGACATCCACCACCCATTACATCATACACTAACTCAGTATGACATACTCCACTCATTACATCATACTGGGGGCTGTTGTGGGGATAACTTGCAGCAAGGCTGTGATACAATATTGAGCACCAGCCCTGCTGGCTTGTTTGGCCCCATGACATGAGAATTGGCTAACTGGCAAAGGAGATCTTTGATCTTCCAAAGGCCGTGCCACCTCTCGCTTGCCTGCTGCCCAGAGGTTGTGGCCTCTGTGGCTCTTATGGCAAATCCAGCACTGATTACACAGCCCCCCGATTTCTTCTTCAGCTGATGCACACACTAACAATGCAATAATTAATGAATCCTAATGCAATCATAAACCACCCAATTAAACCTTTCCTTGTGTACCTGCATTGCTTGGTGTCAACTACATTGGCTGCCCTTAGACAATGCAAATATGTTTAGTTATAAATAAAGTGAAATAAAATGTAACCAACACATAATAACATCTTACAAACACACATAATGAAATATGTCGTACATTTAGCAATACCTGGAATTCATTTATGTTTGCCAGATAATAAAACCAGATGACCTTTAGTCAGGACGGAAAATGCGTCGAAGGCTTGCGATCAATATAAGGCTGTCTAGCAAGGGTCAAAATATTACATTAAGTCATGGGAGGAATTAGGAATTGTGGGAAATCAATGAAAGAATTGCATTTTTAAAGCTAAAATAGCCAAATTATAAACTATTTATTTTTGGCAAAAAAAATCTACAATTTCTTTTACAATTCTCCACAAATTAATCTCTATCAGGGTTATATGCTGAAATGTGAATTGTCAGGAATTCAAAGTCAATTTCACATTTTTAGGGCAATATATTCAATTGAGAAACATTCCCCAAGCCAGCTGTATTTTCAGTTCACTGTTTTGGGCTAAAATGTAATATATACTTTGAACACCATACTTCTACTTAGAAACATCGCATAGTTTATCACTCCACAACTAATCCAAGAATCACTTTATTCTGTCAAAAGTTTTAATATGTAAAAGCATCCAATTCCATGAAATAAATATTGTATTTTATTGGCCAAAGAAATATTGTATTTTACTATTATTTTTTTTAAAAGCACATTTAAGTCCCTAAAGATATATATTATTTTTCCATGGCTTGATTGAAAAATAAAAATGGAGAGTACATTGACGATTTTGGAAATAAAATGTATAAAAAAAAAAAAAAAAGAATTACACGTTATGTATTTTTGTTGAAGTGTGTTTTTGTTGAAAGCACCGTATGTGGCCCTTACATTCTCACTGCATGGAGTACCTTTGTGGAAGAAAACAACAGGTATACATTTTAAAAATATAGACATGGGTCAAATCAATTGTAACATCCTTTGTGGTGAGTGCAAGTTTTTTTTTTTTTTTTTATCTCGTGTTTAATCTCACAAATACAGAATATCGATGCCATGCAAAACTCATGTGGTTCTCGCTCAAAAAATATAGAGCTTTATTTTACAATTATCAGTAGTTTATTTTCTTTTAGAAAATTTAGTGATGGGAAGAGTCTCAAAAATATATATATATAAATTTGTCTACGTGATCATTTACGAACGGCATTTAGAAGTCGATGGAAACAGAACCCTGAGCGCAGTCTTCTCTGCCACGAACGTAAATTTCACAAGGAATCTCCTCCATAACTCTGTCTTCGATGCCTTGATCTGGGCAGTCGAGGGCCTGTTGTTTGAAAGTATACGTGCTTTTTTTGAAGGTGCTATTGAACGTTTTCATTGGCTGAGGTTGTGCAAAATCGTTGCGGAAAGGAAGATCCATTGAGCTGAGATTGGTCCTGCTGTGTTTTAGAGTTGCTGTTTGCGACCCACAGTGATGGTCATGAATACACCTTGAAGTGGTCGATGAACGCCTGTTTTTTTGGTAGTTCTCCAGTTCCTCTGATAGGTCTGCCAGGTCCGCAGAGATCTCCTTGTCTCTTAGTGAAAAGAGCTCATAGTGGGGAGGATCAAAAGCTTCTTGAAATCCAGTTTTGTTGAAGGTAGTCTTGCGAGCCATAATTTTTTTCCGAGGCTGCTTCACTTGGACCAGGATAGAAATTATGAGTAGAACTAACACAACACCAGACGTAATGCCAATGATAGTCCCATGGGTCTTGGTGATCTGCTCAAATAATCCGGCTTCTTTCTTTTCTGTAAGAGATAACACTTTGTTACATCATTTGACAGCCCTGTAGGAGTGCACAGGGTTTCAGGGTGGGTCAATATCCCAGACAAACGTAGACCAATGCATTTGCCAATACAACTGATATTGATCTGGCACTGGTGGTACTGGGAATATCCAAATTTTAGACTTTTACTATAGCTTTAATATAACTGACATTTAAGATCTCCCCACAATAAACTAACTTAAAGACCATACTTTAATACATAGCTAAACAATATTTATATATGTGTGTGGGGAAACCCCCCCGCCCTCCCAAAAAACCAGAATTGTTGTCAAAGTTAAAATGTTTCCCTTATAATTAATGTTAATGCTCTACATCCATTTGATATAGATAATATATAATAAATAACCATGGAAACCAGTGGAAGGTTTCTCCTGAGTCCATTGGTTTCCATGACGATTGTTCCACTTTCTGAGACCTTGCTCCAGAATTGCTATGTTCTCTGATAAGTAACACATTTATACAGCACCTTCTGCCAGGTTTGGTCCCTGGGAGAATTCCCGTCTGTATCTGGCTGAATCATACGTTACGGCTAGATTAGAACGCCTCTCACCTTTACAGTGATTCTCATCCCAGGGGTATGCGCAATTCTGGATCCCGTTACAGACCAAGGAATTATTGATACACATGTTGCTATGGCAGAAGAAGGTGTTGCCAATACAGGGGGCTGCAGAGACAGAATAATATTAAATGCTCAGCTTTCGTGTTCACAGAATAACTCTCCCTTGCGCTATCACT